TTTTTTTTGAGACTCCCAACGATACTGATCATATATGAGCTGAATGTTAGCATGGATGAAGTTACATCAAAGAAGCAAAAGAAATTCTAGAAGGCATATCCTTCAGATAAAAGCTCGGAATGACAAGTAAAAAATGTAAAGTCTGAGAAGATTAGTCAAATACCAAGCCCACTCACCTCACTATCTCTATCGAACACCAACAAAAAATCATCTTCAGCTCCTACAATTGTATACTGCAACTTTTCCCAGCAGAACAACCACTGCGTTAGTGAATCTGGAACCAATAGCTATGATAATAATCTGTAAAGACAAGTGTTTCAGCTTAACCTCTTGGCTTGAATATGACTGCAAGCAGCTCGTTCAGTGGATGTGACAGAGAATACAGTACCACAACTTCTTCTGCTGGAGATGTCTTATGTGTAGACAGATCACGCTCAACAAGCAACCCGTATTTTGTTGTGTACACGGCTCGTATCTGTATGAGTCTAGTTTAGATGCACATAGGCAAAAAAATCTACAAACTCACGTCAAATTGAACCCGAAATCCAAGAGGATGTGAATCTTCAAGAGCAATGAATAGCATGTCTCGGTTGCCAACAAGGCAGAAAAACTCTTGCGTACGGTTTGTTTCATCTTCGCCTTTTGACGGTGGGAAAACGACATAGAGAAGCTGAAAAATTTTTAACTTTGTGATGGTGAAAATGAAAGCACTTCATAGAAACTGGCAATGAAAAACGTAAAAAATGCGTAGCGACTAGAACTCACCTGTTTGATGTCGAATGAAACGTCGTGCCTAAGCAGTAATCTGCCTGTTCCTGAGGATACCGTAACTTCACGATCCACGGCTATAGCATAAACGCATGGTCCATCAGAACGTGCTTGCTGACAGTATAGCAACTGAAAAGCACTCAGTAAAATCGTCATCGTGAATTGTTCGAAATTTCGTGAAAGATTCTGGTGTATCCTTGTAAAACCTTTTTTAGGAATGCAAACCGGAGAAAATACATCTAATTGTTCTAGACCGGCTATACCTTATGTCAAAAAACATTGAAAAGGAGCACCCACAAGTAACTCTATACACTAACTTCACAGCTTCTTTGGCTCTCTCGCATCTACGCTTTGATTCATCAGGAAGTATTAGCTGCTGGTAGGCGGGGCTGCTAGGGCTCTGCCTCTTTCCTGATCATGCTTTCCTTCTCCCAGCTTCAATGACTAGAGAGCACGATAGGGAAAGAGGTGCAGAGCCAGGTGAAGCGGCGGCGCGGACGTGAGCCCCACCTACCAGCGGCCACTACCAATGACTCAAAGGGTATCTTAAGAAACGTCTCGCTCCCAACCTCCGCCCCCCCCCCCCCCCCCCCCCCCCCCCCCCCCCCCC